GCAAGCCGATTTTTAGAAGTGTGACATTCTCTCAAGTTTATTCCAAGTGCATTTGGTGTTGTGTGAGACATTTGAGGCATCACACTTGGGGTGCTAGGCTCACAAGGTTTTCAAGGAATCCAAATCACTACAAGGTATGTATTTCTAGCTATCTTTTATGTTTAAAGTTCCCCATGTATGCTAGATAGGATTAAGAACCTTGGAAATCAAATTTTGCATGTATTTTCGACAAACATAGATCCAAGGTTTCTAGGGTTGCATGTACACCTTAGGAGTGTTAGAATGCTCAAAAACCTACAGTGGTATCAGAGCCTAGACTTGTTTGTTTGATACTTGATGCAAAATAGTGAAAAAAGTCGAAATTCTTGCTGTCTGCACAAGGGACTCGCCGAGTCCATGGGGGGACTCGACGAGTCCAAGCGAATCTTCAACCAACTCGGCGAGTTGGTTCTTGCACTCGACGAGTTGGTCAGGCAGAGTGCATATTTTCGATTTTTGCTGCTAGAAATGGACTAGAAACATTACCCTAAACTGTTTTGGTGTTTTAAAACTTGTTTTAGATGGTGTAATGGTTGTTCTAATCCATTTACAATGGCTAATATCAAAGTTCCATGTTTATATGTGTTCATATGTTCTTGAAATTTTGATATGAATATTCATGTTCTTATGAGTTCTTGCAAGATAATAGGAATTATGTGCTATTGATTGGTAGTTAATTCATGATCATGATGTGTTTTAATGGAGTCCATAACTTGTCCTCAAGTTATGGATAACCAAAAGTCAATTTGTAATAAATCCATTAAAAGAACACATAAGTTACAAAAAATGAAGAGTCTTCATTTTTAGTAAACAATAACTCATAAGTTATGAATTGAAAAGTTTTGTAAAGTTACAAAACTTGCCCTCAAGTTTTGGAACATGTAAAGTCATCTAGTAAACTTTAGTTCCAACCCCCTAGAATTTTAAAAGTTAAAATTCAACCCTTATACTTTATAATATTATAAGTTAATAATATATATATATATATATATATATATATATATATATATATATATATATATATAAGATCAAGTCGTTTTACCGTTAGTAGGCCTCATTCACGAAGCCGGTCTATAAGGGGGGTATAAGGTTGTTGCCTATAAAATGGAAGCTTAATGGGTGTCCACTCTCACCCACCGCTTCCTTGATCGGTGGAGGGTCGTTAGCCGAACGGGTAAGACAAGGACTTTAAATCTTCATTAAAAGTATTAATGATGAATATAAAGTAACTAAATGTTTTTTATAAATTCCCAATCTTAGTTACTTTAGGAAAAGTGTGAATAAGGTGCTAACCCATGAAATTACACTTTGCACTTTGTTTAAGTCGGTTAGTGGAGCGCGTGTGGTTAACCAGCACACTAGCTGGACTTAACAAGGTAGGCAAAGGGTAACTTAATGTTTATCATAGTATCGATGGAGCGCATGTGGTTAACCGGCACATCGATTGAGGGGTAATACATTAAGGGTACCAAGTAATTTGCATGGTTACTTCACACGTTGTTTTGTGATCCTCGGCATCCCAGTCACAAAACCTGAAGGGCACACTCGAGATTGAAACATGCCATTGAAAGTTCAATGAATCTCAAAATATCTAGGAGTTTCAAATCCAATTAAAACCTAATAATTTATTTCGTTTTTCATGGTGGAAATTGGTGAATCGTCATTCACCTACCTTCAAATATTTTATAGCTTGGATTACGGCATCCCTCTTCCAAGTTATAAAATATTGTGTTGGGTCCTAGCCTTAATATTTCATATTGGGTGTTATATTAAGGACTTAAAATCAACTAACTTGAATATCCCCCATTGTAGATGTCTGGTTTAGACAAATGTGATCTTCGCAAATCTCATGGAAATCATACTTCTCTACCTCCACCTCCTCCATTTATTCTCCCTGACCCACAAGCTCGAAGACTTGAAAAAGTCAAGGTCACTCAAGCCCTACTAGCAATGAAACATAAAGATGGAAGACCTGTGTGCACTCATGTCTTAGGAATGAAGTCACACTTTGACAGGTTGAGAATGTTGGGTGTCATTGTCCCAAGGAAGTTGGCTATTGACTGGGTTCTTCAGTTACTTCATGAGTCTTATAGTGAGTTCATTAAGAACTACTATGTGACAGATCACGACATGACCCTGATAGATCTATCTTATTTGCTTGTTGCTGCTGAGTCAGAAATGATGTGGCGCAATGGTCAATCAAATATGGGTGGAAGGTCTATTTCTTAAACTTCCATGGACATTGACAATGGTAACATTGTAAGTCCAGAAAAGCTTTCTCTTCCCAATGGAAAGGGATCGGCCTTGGTCAACCCGATTGACCAAAAGGTAACGGCAAAAGCTAAGTCTGTGATAGTCCCGTGTACCATTCCCAAAGAGTCTATATGTTTTCATTGTCAAGAGATGGGGCATTGGTTGCGAAACTGTCCTAACTACCTGAAAGATCTAAGAGAGAAGGAAAAATCGAAAGGATTTGACTCTGCTTCGGGTAAGTCCACTATCTAACTCTGTTAAGTTCCTTATTGATGATTCTTAATACAAAATGTGACTCGTTTACATTTTGGTGTTTGGCATGATCATGCAAAGGGAAGGAAACTTAAAGAAAGTGTATGTTGAATCTGATCGCGAAGATGGATTTCAATCGCATGGTTTGAAGATCGGATTCTTGAGCTACTACTTAGAGAGTTATGATAGATTGCTAGGAAATATGTAATAGGATAGTTTTCATTTAAAGTTGCATTGTAAGGAAAAATGTTTTTCCGCATTTTTATAAATAAATAAAATTTTGATTTTATCTTAGTTTATATCTCCTTGCAATGACTTTTATGGAAAATTGATGTTTATATGTTTCTAGCAATAATGGAAATATGAATTTAATTCTTTCATTTGTGGTAGTGTCTAAATTTACCAAATAAGGAAAGCTTCTCATCACCCAAGTTTTCAGTTGGATAGAAACTTGGAATCATACAAGTTGTATAGTATGATGAATGAGAACTTTCAGCTTTGGAAAATTAAGACTAGTTCTTTGTTCACATGTATATGAGAGTCAAGTGAAGGACTAAGGGATCGAGTACACATTATTGTGCACTGATCAATGTCCACCACAAAAGGTCATAAGACTATTCGTCATGATTTACTAAGGTTTAGGAAATATGGTTATACTTATAAGTTTAAGTATAATTCTGAAACATTGAAAAAAATTTCAGTGTATGGCAGGACGGATGAGAAGAATCAAATTAGGCAGAAGGATAAAAGTTTCTCAAATCTGAAAAGATGGGAGAGTACTTTAGTATCATGTTTTGTGATCATCTTAATGATTAAGAAACCATATCACAATTGGTCCTCTAAGGACATCTTAGTGCATTCTTATGGCTAAGAAGAGGAATCATGAATTGTTGAAGTGGTTAAATCAAGAAGATGAGATATATTTCGTTCCAAAAAAAAAAGATTGTAACTTGAGTGACATATCTTAAAGAAAGGTTTAAAACACTTGTAAAATGTAAGAGTAAAAGTGTCATACTCTTGTACATTTGAAATTGGTAAGTTGTGATGTTTTGGATAAAACAGAGACCAACTTAAGGCCAATTGTGTGAAGTGTTTGTGTTGATAAAGAATCTGCACTATCTTTTGAATATTTGGCAAGTGAGTCTTATATGTCAAGAGGGAAGTGGGAGTCTTAGAGATCTTGGAAAAACTTTCAGATCTAATCAAGAAGGAAAAACCTATCACTACAAGAAAAGACCCTTTTACGACGCGCAAACCACGACACTCATTGATTTATGTTACGCAAAAGAGAGTGACATTAAAAAAGTCTCATCTCTTCAAAAAATTCAAGGATTTAGGTCTCGCATTGTTGCGTGCCCTTAAATTAGTGTCTCATGTAAAAAAATTTAAAACACGGAGGGCACTTTATCTAAAATGTGCGTCCTCTGTGAATGTCGCTTTATGATTTTTACTCAAAACGCGCGTTCTTAAAAGGGGGAAATGAAATCCTTTTAAAATTCTAAAATGTTTAGATACCCCGCTTCAAGATCTCCCATCGTTCTCTTCTTCCTTTCTCTCTGCAAACCGTAATCACGATACCATCTCTGCTATAAACCTCGACAACTCATATAATCGTTTCTATAATTTTTTTCTTAAAAACTCGCGTTCATTCCTAAAGATCACAAAATGGCGACCAGCAACTAGGGCTTTTATTTCCCACTTACATATGATCGTGATTTTCATCAAGAGTTTCAAAAACACTTCCCTCACGTACGCTTTTCTTCTTCAATCTCACATCCATTTAGGGTTTTCGCATACAAGAACTCTATTCGACTCATCACACATCAGCCACCAACTATTAAAGGAAGACGTCAAAGCATTCATAGGCCGGATGTAGCAACAATAGAAGATTCACCTCGCCTCGCCTCGTTAATTCGACAACCTCTTTGGTCACCTCTCCTCCAGTGACCTCGTTCTCACTTCTCCTCGTCGGAGACCCTGGCACCTGACCTCGTTAGAGACTATAACGATTGCTCAAATTTACACGCCCTAGTTCGACTAAGGTATGTTTTGTTTTTTCTCTCTTCCTAATGTTTTCGTTCTCCTATCCTCACTCCTCCATAATTTCTGAAAAATCCCGAAGCTTACTAGTTTTCTCATGATAAAAATTAGATATTAGTTGTTTTAGTCAATAGAGTTTTCATGGCAACATCTCTCTCTCTCTATCTCTCTCTCTCTCTAAAACTGTTACCCTCCATGGCGACGTCTCCATTTCTGTTATCTTATATCTTTTTCAAAATTGATCCCTATCTGTTTTTGGTGGGTGATTAATAAATAAATTGAACTCCCCATGTCAAATATCTCACGTAATTAGCTTAAGGTTCTTGGGGTTCTTGGGTTCAGCTTCTGGTGTGTTTGGCGTCCTTGGTTGGTGGTTGAAGGTGCAAGTGTATACCGGTCATGGGCATTTTTGGTAAATGGAAGATTATAAGTTTTTTCTTGTGGCTGCCTGGGTTCTTTTGAGGTCAGTGGGTTACAACAATCTTTCAATTTTATTTTTGCTTATCTATTCTGGATTGTATTGCTTTCGAAAATAGTGGTTACTTATTCAGGGACATTTTGGCCAGCTTGTTAATTTTGATAGAATTCGGTATTACTGGGAAAAAAATGGGTGCACCCCTGTTCCTTTTTATCGCAGTAGCCTCTTCTTTGATATTTTTTTCTTCTAATCTCCTTGGTTTGAGAAACAGGGGCTGCTTGATCAAAAGTTTTTTTGTTATTGGTCCATGATTGACAAATTTATGGAAGGGTTTCTTGTTCTTCATACTGCTGATTTTAATCCTAGTCAAGACTATTGGGATCATTGTTATGTCATATACAAAGGGCAATACTGGAATCTTCTTGTTTGGTTTGCGGTTGATCAAAATATTTTTTTTCCTTTTGAAAATGCTGCTGCTGAGTTTGATTCTTTCCATGGCTGCTGGGTTAACTTTAATTTTGAAAGGGGCAATTTTGGAATTTTAAAAGGGTAAAATGGGATAAACCCCAAATCTCATAGAGTTGACATCACAGATGCAGTGGAACTAGCTGTTTCAACATCAGAAGCATTAACAATCCACGAGGTAGTAGTGAATCATGTATGTCTATTTTTAGTTTCATGGGTCAGCTTCAGAATGTGGCCTTTAAATTTGCACGCTAAGTGTTTGTGAAAAGTCCTTATCAATGATTTGGCATTTAGAGGTACCTTTTGGGATTGAGAAAGATGGGCCTTCTTGAGTTGATCTATTATAATGTTAGAAAGGGGTAGAATTTAGAAGAATGAACTCAATTTATATGAATGTTTGATTTTATAAAAAAATATGAATGTTTTAGCTTTGTTGTTTCTCTCTCAATTTCAGATGATTCATTATGTAAAAAAAAGATAGAAATTAAGTTTACAACAAAACTGTTCCTTTTTTTTTTGCTTTTATGTTTATCTGGTTTTACATAGAAGTTTCAATTCTACCGTATAAAGTTGCCATGCGAATGGCTCCTAATATATTTCCTCTTGATATAACGTAAGAATAAAATTAATTTTTTGTATTATTTGATATGCTTATTTTGCTTACATAATTTTTTTATTTTTTATTTTTGGTATTGCAGCGTGTCGGATATGCATTCCAGCAAATTTACTGGAGTGGGTTGGGCGCTTGGGCTGACGGAGTTCTTGGGAGGGAGGTCATGTTAAAATTATTTTCTAAAGAAAGAGATGAAAGATTGATACACCATCTCATGGCTTCAAAGGAGCTTCATCCATCCTTAATATCTGCCCATAGTGAATATAAGGTGTAAGATGAGAGTTCTGATGAAGATTATCACAATCTTCATTGATGTTTTGCGAATACTTTCATTAATGGTTCTTATCTTGTGGTTTGTTAAGCAGATTATGGGAGTACTTTTGGCTGCAGTTCTTAGACCACAAGAAGCTCAATGCCCTTTAGTTCAATACATTACACGAGAGCTTTTAACATGCTTAATATTGGAACATGTAATGAGTGAGTATTCAAGAATCATACTCTTTCTATTTCTAGTTCTCCACACTTTCAACTTTTGATTTATACACTTTTCAATAGGCGTATTAATGAGTTGATTGAGGGTATTTGTCTTGCTACCAATAAGGGGGAGAAAGAAACAGTTGATGATCAGTCCAATGTCACTATTCAACACCAGAATCAACCTTCTGTTACAAACAATGACAAAGGTCCAAAGTCAAACAGTGGGTCTTCTTCTAGTCAAAAGTTAGAGAAAACACCATCTACCCCTAACATCCAAAAGAAATCTTCTGTAACTGTAAACCCATCTTCCACCATGGTTAGTGGGCCCATCCAAGATGAGTCCATGCCTACACGGACTTCTGATTGGGCCTGTGTTCTTGAAGCAGCAGCCCAAAGAAGGACAGAAGTTCTTCAACCAGAGAATCTTGAAAACATGTGGACTAAAGGAAGAAACTATATGAAGAAATCTCAAAAGAATTCTACTTCTTTCATCATAAAAGGTGGAATCAATGAAAAATTGAATCCTGATATAGGAAGTGATCAATAAAGAGACCAAAACTCAAACTCAAACACAAACTCAAACACAAGTTTAGCTTCTATCCCCCATCAATTGCTTTTTTATTATTCGGGTAATTAATATCTCTACCTTTTTTATTTAATTCACTAATTATATCTATGCATATACATCTATATAAAAAAAACCTTTTATATTTTGAAGGTATACACCTGTTCGTAGCGATTCGGTTGTTGGTGAGCTGAAGTTGTCAGAGCCAACTGATGTAATTCTCCTAGGTATTAATTTTGTATTTTTCAAGATTTATTTTATATACTTTTCTTAAAATGCAAATTTGTTAAATATTATGTTACATTTAAGGGATTACAAGAATTGAGATGCTTGCAGTTACTGGTAAGGATTTTAATCCTTCTACATTATAAAACTTATTTTGTTTCGTATTTTCAAATATTAAATACTTATTTTATCATACCGTATTAAAAAATAAAAAAGATAGGTACATTTGTTCAGAAGAGAACAAATCCTTTAAGCCATTACAATCATAATGTTCTTGCCCATATAAGCTGTGATTTGATAACATTGGTAATTTCTTCAGATGTGAATTCATTGTAACAGATACATTTGGAAGATCGAGTGAACCGGCATATTCTGAAACTGCCCTGTTTCCCCTGGTCTTGTCTTCTTGACTTGACCTTATTTCTCTTCTTATCTGTCATTTTTGTTACTTTGTAATTTCTATTAATATATAAACAGGTTTCTTGGATTTTTTTTCAGGAATTCCTAAATAAAGAAGCTGGAAATTGAAGGGAAAGGTTTCCATACAAACTTATATGCAGTTCATGGTAATTATAGTGGAGGAAAAGAGGGTAAGAGTAAAATCCTGTGGCTTAGATCAATGGTTGGAAGTCCAAATCTTATTTCCATTCCCGATATCTTTTTTCTTTTACAAAATTTTACCACTTTATGAGAAACAAAGTGAAATGTGGGTCTATAAATTGTTTTTTTTATTGTAGGTGAAACAGGAAGGATCATCAAACATATGATCAACCTATTTGGGCTAGTATTATATGTTGCTCCTTCTCCTGCTCCTGCTCTTCCCCCATCATTTTCTTCCATTATGCAAAGGGTATTTTAGGTTATATGATTAGAGAGTACCATGTATTCACAACACATTAAGTGAAGCTCCAAAAGTTACAGCAACTAAGAGGAAAATGATCTTGATGTTCATGGTCTATTTAATGAGTAAGCATTAGGATTTTACACTCAAGTTAAATCTTTTTATTTTGTAATATTGATTGAGGAACCTTGTTACTGCAAATAAGTGAAAGAGTTTCCTTGCTACTTTCTGAAATCGAATCCCTTCTTCATCATTGAGCGAAAGCCTCTTTCCAGAAACAACCCTTAAAAGACCATTCAATATCAAGGTCCCAAACCATAGTTATAGCCCATGATTTCCACTGCTACTCACACCTTCTCATCCTTCTGTTCTTTATCTTTTGTTATCCATCCAATATACAAACCTCAGCTTTAAATACTGCTCTTGAATTTATGTGCTCATGCGGACACTAGATCTGATAGAGTACCCATCTCCTCCCAATCTTCAATCCAATCGCCTTTCCCTTCATGTAATTTATATGTCTCAATTCCACTATTCTCATGTATATATTTCTAGTTCTTACATCTATTTCTATTCAAATGAGACTTAGTATGTAATTTCATGTCTTCTTGGTCCGATATAGTAGCTAAAGCTCTAACACCTGCATTATAAGTCGTTTTTTTGTTTTTACTAATTTGAACTTATTATGCTCAGGTTAGTGATGACGGAACTTCTTGTTGGATTTGTTAGGAACCGGACCGGGTACACGCAGCGGAAACACACTATCACACACACACAAACTCACGAAAATAAAGCAAGAAGAACACAAGGATTTTACGTGGTTCGGATTCGGTGCAAATCCTACATCCACGGGCTGCAACTAGAGAATTTTATTAAAACTCACAAGATTACAATTGGCTTGACACTCTACACTTGATGTTCTCTCAAGTTTTTGCACACAAAATATGCAAAACATACATGCATATATATAGGTATATTTGTGAGCCGCAATATGCACAAGATTGCCGCAAAGATTGACTTTGAAAATTTTGCCATTCACATTAGCCGTCCAACAAATATTAAATAATTGTCCACCGACCATTTGAATATTTAATTCAAACGTTTGCCGACAACAATTGAATAATTCAATTGTTAAATGTAATGTTACATTTATGGCCCTTGAACTCTTAGGAACTTGTCAATTTGTTCAAGACTCCATAAATCTTAACAATCTCCCACTTGGAGGCTTGAACAACATGGTCCGTCTCTGTTATCCAACTCCAGTAATCTTAAAACAACCAAGTCTTCCAAGCCTCCAGTTCCTAAGAACAAGCTAAACTTAGTCCCATTTCTCTAGTTGCAGCCGCCCCTCATCTTCAAGTACTAGAAGGGCCAGTTGAAGCTCCTACTAGCTCCAACTCAGTCGTGGCTAATCCCACCACCGACTCATCCTCTGTCTCAACCGGTTTGGACACTCCACCAGATCCAGAGATACACCGAGGACCACTAACACTCTCCAAACTTTGCAAACTTCCAACAAGAGAGAATTTTCCAGTCTTAGTCTTCAAAACCCAACGGCTCTTTGTAACTGTACCCGGAACACACCCCGTGCTCCCACTGTCACAGAATCCCCTGAATGGTTTAGAATTTCCGACTCGTTCAACTAACATCCCCTTGGCTCCAGAATTCATGTTTGCAAAATGAACTCTCTTAGCAGTAGATTTAGCGAACCAGATTTTGTTTTGCTTAATCGGGATGATCATACTTCCCTCAGCAGGTACCTCAACCATATACAATGACCCACGCTTCATACCTTGAGCAATCACCGAATTACCATTGACCACCATCCATTTACCACCACCAAACCTTACCTGCAGTCCTTATTTATCCAGCTGACCAACATAAATCAATTTTTTCTTCAGCTCCGGAATAACCCTGACATTCTTCAGGCTCCATGTAGTTCCCAATAAAGTAACTAGATCAATATCTCCCATGCCCGTTACTTGAAGCATCTCGTCATTTGCTAACCGTACCTTTCCAAAATCTCCTTTTTTTAGATTCACCATCGTTTCCCCGTTGTCCATGGCGTGAAACGAAGCCCCTGAATCCATGACCCAAGAGTCCCCAGAACTTTCCATATTGAGTATCAGTGCATCATCCTCAGACACACTCTCAGCACCAGCAATGTTTAATTCTTTCTTTGGACATTGACTCTTAACATGTCCCACCTCTTGGCAGTTCCAACATTTCATATTCTTCAAGGTTCTAGAAGAACTTTTTCCCCGACTCCCACTGCTCTTGCTATTCCCTTTACCTCTTCCGACATTTAATAAATCAGAAGAAGAAGACCCACCTTGATTCTTGCGTCTGATATCTTCGCCAAGAACCAAATCTCTAACCCCTTCAAAAGTCATACCACTGGTCCCCACGGAACTAGTAACAGTAGTAACTGTTCCAGACCAGCTATCAGGTAGAGAAGCTAGTAGCAGTGATGCTTGAGTCTCGTTATCCAATTTAATTCCCACAGATGATAATCTGGACATAATTGAATTTAGATTGTTAATGTAAACCGTAACTGAGCCTTCCTCATTCATCCTTGTAGTGAACAACTCCTTCATCAAGAACACCTTGTTAGCCGCCGATGGTTTCTCATACATATTTGACAGAGCCTTCATCATACCACGCGCCGTGGTTTCATTCATGATGTTGAAAGCAACGCTCTTCGTCAACGACAATGTAATAACCGCCTTGGCTTTCTTGTCCTTTGAGTTCCACGCATCTTCAAAAGCTTTTTCCATTTTCTCCGGTTTGTCTCCGAGTACCATGTCCAAGTCTTTCTGACATAGCAATGCTTCTAATTGCATTTTCCACCAGCTAAAATCAGAACCGTTGAACTTTTCGATTACAACCTTGTCTTCAGCCATTACGACAAACAAGATACAAATCAGGTACACTCGTGCGTGATAAAAAAAATGATTGTACCCTCCAAACCTCGCTAATCTGGCTCTGATACCAGTTGTTATGAACCGAACCGGGTACACGCAGCGAAAACACACTATCACACACACCCAAACTCACGAAAATAAAGCAAGAAGAACACAAGGATTTTACGTGGTTCAGATTCGGTGCAAATCCTACATCCACGGGCTGCAACTAGAGAATTTTATTAAAACTCACAAGATTACAATTGGCTTGACACTCTACACTTGATGTTCTCTCAAGTTTTTGCACACAAAATATGCAAAACATACATGCATATATATAGGTATATTTGTGAGCCGCAATATGCACAAGATTGCCGCAAAGATTGACTTTGAAAATTTTGCCATTCACATTAGCCGTCCAACAAATATTAAATAATTGTCCACCGACCATTTAAATATTTAATTCAAACGTTTGCCGACAACAATTGAATAATTCAATTGTTAAATGTAATGTTACATTTATGACCCTTGAACTCTTAGGAACTTGTCAATTTGTTCAAGACTCCATAAATCTTAACAATGAGACTTAGTATGTAATTTCATGTCTTCTTGGTCCGATATAGTAGCTAAAGCTCTAACACCTGCATTATAAGCCGTTTTTTTGTTTTTACTAATTTGAACTTATTATGCTCAGGTTAGTGATGACGGAACTTCTTGTTGGATTTATGTTGCTTCCAGCTGCCATATCTACATAATTCTGGTTTTCTCTTCCTCCAGTTTGCTTTCTTTATTTACTTACTTGAAGTTGGCATTTGGTTTATGCATATGTAAGGTCCTGAAACGGATCTTACCAGTGATCAAAACAAACAAAACAATAGATTATAATAGAATGAAGTAGAAACAGAATCAACAACAAGCTTGCACACGCTTCTATTAACGAAAAACGTCTGGTACAAGTTGTTTACAGCAACCGTGAACTCTGTGGCATCAACAACCATTAAATGACCTACACAGCCTCTATATATAGTGGACTTGGGCCGACTCAGGGTTTACGGCCGTAAACAGGCTTACGGCCGTAAACTCATAACATGGCCGTAAACTACCATCAACACTACCAAAACTACATATCGACTCAAAAGACCCTATTACAACAAAAGCCTAGACCAAACCATTAATTGGACCCTTGAATCTCCCCCTTGGTTTGATGCTAGCTTGAAGTTAATCTTTGTCGACCACCATCACATCTGCCTGCCCCATTTCCCCGTTCCACATACGTTTATTGATGATCTTAGCAACCATAGACGTGTACTCTTTCGCTGCTTGCTCAAAAATCTCCTCAGCAACTATAATTTGATGAAGACTCAGATGATGAATATCCCACTTCCTGAACTGGAACAAATCCCTTCGATCATAAAGACGGATGCATCCATTTTTAAGCTTGATAACAGCAGACGCTGTAGTCTCGTCGAAAACCCAGTACTCCATGGAGCTTAGAGATCCATCTTGGTAACTTTGAAGGAAAGGAATTTGTTTAACCTGATTGGTTGCAGGCTACATCACCACCTGAAGAGGATGACCAGTCTTGGGATCTATGACATCAGGATAATGCTTGATAACAGACTCAACAGTCTTCATCGAAGGAAAACCCCTTTTCACCTGGTCTTCTAGGAAGTGTTTGAATTGAGTTACCTGTGGATTATCCGAGGGATTTGAAAAAGGAGATCGTGATAACTCTGATAGATCCACCCTAGTCCATGAATTGAAATCATGACTGTGTTTGTATA